TCAAAGTACTACACAAACACACAAGGTGACAATACTCTGTGGGAAGTCACTTGGCTAGTTACAATCTGGAAGTCAGAACAACTAGCTCACAATTGCTTAATTTAACCTCTCACTTTTAATATGCAACCTCACCTTCTTCCTTTGCAAAATTTTGAACTAATCTCAGGTCTATGTAGCATAACCAAGTAACTTAGTGATTTAACTAAGTTAATTATCAACCCAACTTAAGTACATACAGGGTCCCCACCTTAAGTGGTCATTGTGGTTACTCACCAATATCTACTCCACTGCACTTCCCATTGTGTAGGGAAGATCCTATTGGACTGAGATTTTCCAGGTACTGCCATTTAAATCACCCAGGTTTTTCTGTCTCCTGATCTGGTTCTAACTTCCACTTTATTAATTTTGTCAAGTAGCCCTTTAGTTATCTAATTTTGCATAATTAGAGTTACACTCTGTGCACACTGTGCCTGACCCAGTGTGTTCATCTGATGGAATCTACATAGTTGTAATAAAGAATAAGTAATAAAGAAGGCCGGGTGCAACGGCTCACACCTGTAATCCCAGCACTTTGGGAGGCCAAGGAGGCCAGATCACCTGAGGTCGGAAGTTCGAGACAGCCTGACCAACATGGAGAAACCCTGTCTCTACTAAAAATACAAAATTAGCCGGGCATGGTGACTCATAGCTGTAATCCCAGACACTTGGTAGGCTGAGGCAGGAGAACTGCTTGAACCTGGGAGGCAGAGGTTGTGGTGAGCTGAGATTGCACCATTGCACTCCAGCCTGGGCAACTACAGCGAAACTGTCTAAAAAAAAAAAAGAAGAAGAAGAAGAAGGCCATTCTACATGAGCTGAAACAAAAGATTTTAGGCGGGGTGCTGTGGCTAATGCCTGTAATCCCAGCACTTTGGGAGGCTGCGGTAGGCATATCACTTGAGGTTAGGAGTTTGAGAGCAGCCTGGCCAACATGGCAAAACCCCATCTCTACTAAAAATACAAAAAATTAGCTGGGCATGGTAGCTTGTGCCTGTAATTCCAGCTACTCAGGAGGTTGAGGCAGGAGAATCACTTGAATACGGGAGGCAGAGTTTGCAGTAAGCCGAGATCGCACCATTGCACTCCAGCTTGGGTGACAAAGCAAGACTTTGTCTCAAAAAAAAAAAAAAAAAAAGATTTAAAAAACACATTTAAAAAAGAAAGTTGCAGGCTGTGGAGCAACCAGACAATTGTAATGAAATGTGACGCAGAGGGCACCAGGTGTGACGTTTTTTTGCCAAAAAGTCAAACCAGGTTCCAACTAAACCTGTAGAGCAAAGTTTCATTTGCAGGAAATTCAAAGAAAAGAAGAATAATGTAAATGACCCCACAGGGAAACAGACAAACCCTGAATGTGGAGCATTTCACGGGACAAAACTGGTTTGTTTAACCAGTCAATGGCAAGGGGGTAAAGGGAAGACTGTCTTCGATTAAAGAGAATTGAGAGAGACAGCAATGAAATGCAACGCAAGGACTTGTTTGGGTCTAGATTTAAACGAAATGATTGAAAAAAGACATTTTTGAGATAATCAGGGAGATCCGATTATAGACTGAAGTACTAGATGTTGCTAAGGCATCATTAAATTTGTTATGTGTAGCGAGGTGCTGTGGCTCACGCCTGTAATCCCAACACTTTGAGAGGCTGAGGTGGGCAGATTATCTGAGGTCAGGAGTTTGAGACCAGCCTGACCAACATGGAGTAACCCTGTCTCTACTAAAAATACAAAATTAGCCGAGTGTGGTGGCATATACCTGGAATCCCAGCTACTCGGAAGGCTGAGGCAGGAGAATCGCTTGAACCTGGGAGGCAGAGATTGCGATGAGCCAAGATGCACTTCCAGCCTGGGCAACAAGAGCAAAACTCTGTCTCAAAAAAAAAAAAAAAAAAAATTATGTGTGTAATGGCATTCTGATTATATAGCAGAATGTCCATTTTCGTTTGTTTGTTTGTTTTTGAGATGCAGTTTTGCTCTTGTTGCCCAGGCTGGAGTGCAGTGGCGCTATCTTGGCTCACTGCAACCTCTGCCTCCCTGGTTCAAGCGATTCTCCTGCCTTGGCCTCCCAAGTAGCTGGCATTACAGGCATGTGCCACCATGCCTGGCTAATTTTTTGTATTTTTAGTAGAGACAGGGTTTCTCCATGTTGGTCAGGCTGGCCTCGAACTCCTGACCTCAGGTGATCTGCCCACCTCAGCTCCCCAAAGTGCTGGGATTACAGGCCTGAGCCACCGCGCCCAGCCTTAAAAATAAATATTTCAGCAAATAAAATAGCAAAAAGAAAATGCAAGTTTCAAAAAAGGTATATGGTATTTTGTCTAAGAAAAGAGGATATGAGAATATATATTTTATTTTCTTGGGTTTGCACTGGGAGTAAACACAAGAAACTTAGGAAAATGAAAACCTATAATATAGGTGGGAGAAATGGGGGTAAACATGGAAGGGTGGGGTCAAGGCTTCTTGAGCTTTTTGTATTGCTTTAACTTTTTTTTTTAATTTAAGAGACAGGGTTTCACCATATTGGTCAGGCTGGTCTCGAACTCCTGACCTCAGGTGATCCACCCGCCTTGGCCTCCCAAAGTGCTGGGATTACAGGTGTGAGCCACCGCGCCCAGCCTGCTTTAACTTTTTAGCTATTTGAATATAGTATCTAAAGTTTTGAAGAAAATAATAAATAAAAGTTAAATGAACATGAAAATGTTCAGAACCAGCCTCCTACACACAGAAAACAAGGAAGGGTTAAAGTAGATCTCTAGGCTGGCATGGTGGCTCACGCCTGTAATCCCAGCACTTTGGGAGGCCGAGGTGGGCGAATCACGAGGTCAAGAGATGGAGACCATCCTGGCCAACATGGTGAAACCCAGTATCTACTAAAAATACAAAAAAAATTAGCCAGGCACGGTGGCACATGCCTATGGTTCCAGCTACTCAGGAGGCTGAGGTGGAAGAATCACTTGAACCCAAGAGGCGGAGGTTGCAGTGAGCCGAGATTGCGCCACTGTACTCCAGCCTGGCAACAGAGCAAGACTCCATTTCCAAAAAAAAAAAAGTAGATCTCTAGCCCCCTTCATATCTAGACTTTAATGAACTAATAAATTGTTAATGTTTTATAAAGGTGGTCTCAGTAGCAATTCTAGAAATGAGCAGAAAACAAAGTAGTAAAAACAAAACACAGTCAGCCGGGCATGGTGGCTCATGCCTGTAATCCTAGCACTTTGGGAAGCTGAGGTGGGTGGACCACCTGAGGTCAGGAGTTTGAGACCAGCCAGGCCAACGTGGTGAAACCCCATGTTTTTAGTCTTTACTAAAAATACAAAATTAGCTGGGAGTGGTGGTGGGTGCCTGTAGTCCCAGCTACTGGGAAGGCCGAGACAGGAGAATTGCTTGAACCTGGGAGGCAGAGGTTGCAGTGAGACAAGATCGCACCACTGCACTGACAGAGCAAGACTCCATCTCAAAACAAAAACAAACAAAACACCGAATTTGAGGGCTGATGCTTTTAAGAGCCTTGCCCAAGTTCATGCTGCTAATAAACATAACCCCTGACCCCATGTTTAATCTGTTCTACCTTACACTTGAATATAGGCATTTGCTGGTTGTTATTAGTTATGTGGGAAGACAAACATTAATTTAATGAAACATAATTTATAATGGAAAAACTCTGACGCTTAGGGGACTTACACATCATTCTAAATCATGGGCCTTTCAGCAAATCAATTTTCTGAAGTCTCAGATTCCTTGTCTATAAAATGAGAATCTTGATTATGATCTCTTGAGTAACTGCCACTCTGTGATGCTATGGGAAGTACACACGCTGAACAAGTTGGATATTTATATGAAATGCCATTTGTTTATATTGAACAAGTTGGATATCTATACCAAATACATTTCATGGCATAAATGTGAACGACAAAGAAATTCAGGAAGGCAGGACATAGAGGAAGGCCACTGGCTTTTCAGAAACCACTCAGTCTGTGAGCCCACTTCCCTTTTATAAAAAAAAGCTTTAGCTTTTAAGGTGTCCAGATAAAAGCCACACTCCCAGAGCTGAGCCTATGCAAGTCTGACCTGTCACCTCAGTAATGGGAATGTGGCTGGAACTCAACTCTTTTTGATAATTCATGCCCAAAGCCTCTTGGGATAGGAGAGAGGGGATACCTCATCTGCATGAGATGAAATAGGATACCGAGATCCCCTTAATTCCACTCAGATAGTGGAAAGGAAGTGTTGCTGAAAGAAACATGTATTTTCTAAGTTGAAGAGTTGGAATGTTTGAAGGTTAAGGTCAGAATATTAGGACAGAGAGCCATGCATATGTTATCTAATACAAGTTGCTCAGTTTATAAACTATATACATGAGGACACTGAGACCCAGCAAGGTTATAGGCTACAACCTAATCTAAGTTAGAAGAAGGATGAGGGCCAGGTGTGGTGGCTCACACCTGTAATCCCAGCACTTTGGGAGGCCGAGGTAGGTGGATCACTGAGGTTGGGAGTTTGAGACCAGCCTGACCAACATGGAGAAACCCCATCTCTACTAAAAATACAAAATTAGCTGGGTGTCGTGGTGCATGCCTGTAATCCCAGCTACTTGGGAGGCTGAGGCAGGAGAATTGCTTGAACCCGGGAGGCAGAGGTTGCAGTGAGCCAAGATTGTGCCATTGCACTCCAGCCTGGGCAACAAGAGTGAAACTCCGTCTCAAAAAAGAAAAAAATAAGAAGAAGAAGGATGAGAGTTAGGCTCACGATGGGAGTTGCAATGGTCTCTAAATGTGAGGATAAGGAACATGCCATTCACTGTCGTGTTCCACCTCCTAGTCCAGTGCCTGGTGCAAAGTGGGGGCTTCATAAACATTGGTCATAGGCCTGATGGTGGGACTGATCTGAGTGAGTGAACGCATGGATGGTGCCTCTGTAGTTTGTGTTCCCTGCTAATCAGATGAACTCATACATGCTTCATTTCAGGGCTTTCTCATCTGAGATACTACGTTGGAGAGTTCTCTCTACGTGCCATGACCGAGTAGCGTTTTCTTCCTCTGAAGTATTGCTTCCTCTTTGTTGGTATCACAGGACAAACATCAGAACACTTACAGGATGTGTGTAGTGTGGCACGATAGAGAACTTGGGTTTCCTTTAATGTGACTGGAGACCTGGCAGTGTTAATAAAAGAATCATCGGTAATCAGACACCCTAGACACCCTGGTGTGCTGAGCTAGCACTCAGTGGGTGCGGCCACCGCTCATGTGATTGTGGAGTAGCAGTTGGAAGACGTGCCCAGTTCATTTGGAGAGTTAAAACTGCACCTATTCAGCTGTATCTTTAAATTTTAAAAAAGAAAAAAAAAAACTGCACCTAACAGAGCTGTCCTCTGACTTTTCTTCTACAAGCCCCATGTTTTCACATCTGCCTTTTGACGGTGTCCTCCTGCTGCTGCTGCTACTTACAAGTAAGTCTGGGCATGGATATTGACAGTGAGATAAGGGTGCTGCCGGAGGACAAGGGAGAGAGACAAGGATGGCCGTGGTAAGGTTATTTGTAATAGCAAAGGTTTGGAAGCAACCTAAATGTCCATCAGTGAGTGAGTGGGTAAATAAATATGATATAATTGTGACACAAACAGTGAGGCTGACCAAACACACTGGTCTGAATGTCTCAAAGTTATAATGTTATTTTTAAAAAGAAAGGTGCAGAATAATGCATATATTAGGCTTCTATTTCTGTATGCGCATCATTGGGGAGCAGGAATATGTGGACATTTCTTAATGTATAGGCTCTAGGAAAAGGAACCAGGGAATGGTAAAGAGTTGGGAAAGTGAGGCATATTTTTCTTTTTCTTTTTTTTTTTTTGAGATGGAGTCTCACTCTATTACTCAGGCTGGAGTGCAGTGGCACAATCTCGGCTCACTGCAATCTCCATCTCCCAGCTTCAAGCGATTCTCCTGCCTCAGGCACCTGAGTAGCTGGGATTACAGGCACGCATCACTATGCCTTGCTAATATTTTAAATTTTTAGTAGAGACGGGATTTTATCATGTTGGCCGGGCTGGTCTCGAACTCCTGGCCTTAAGTGATCTGCCTGTCTCAGCCTCCCAAATTGCTGGGATCACAGGGGTGTGCCACCACGCCAGGCAACTTTTTCATACATCTTTGATAGTGTTTGAATGGTTTTTTTGTTTTCTTTTTTTGAGATGGAGTCTCACTCTGTTGCCCAGGCTGGAGTGCAGTGAGTGGTGCCAACTCAGCTCACTGCAACCTCAGCCTCCCAGGTTCAAGCAATTCTCCTGCCTCAGCCTCCTGAGTAGCTGGGATTACAGGCACCCATGACCACACCTGGCTAATTTTTTATATTTTAGTAGAGATGGGATTTCACTATATTAGCCATGGTCTCGATCTCTTGACCGCATGATCCGTCTGTCTTGGCCTCCCAAAGTGCTGTGATTACAGGTGTGAGCCACCGTGCCCGGTGTGTTTGAAAGTTTTTACTGTAGTTGAGTCATAAGAAAACCAAGGGGAAAGAAAAAAATCAAAAGAAAATATATAATGTATGTTTTATCATATGTAAAATATGTATATATAGTTTTTTTAAAAGGAATTAACTTTGTCAATTGAGGAAAATGATAAGACAAGTCAATCATTTTAGAAGATTTATTTGCCAAAGTTAAGGAGGCACTTGGGAGACAGGTCTCTATGCCTTTCTCAGAAGATGATTTTGAGCGCTCCAAATTTAAAGGGGACAAGGTGGGATATTGAGAAGCACTCAGTTTTCACATAAAGAAAGGGGGCAGAGGAAAAATGTGGGAAATCTGCATTTTCTATAAGATAACACAGACAAAATAGGGCAGGGGAACAGTCAGATATGGCCGAGGCGATGCACCTGTAAAGATAAGCTATCAGTTTGCATTGCACAGCTGCAGGAATTTCCTTGTGTGCAAAATATGGGGGAGGCCTGTAGCCTTTCATCTTGTAGTCATCTTATTTAGGACTCAAAAGGAGGAGGGAGGTTTCCATGACCCCGTGCCCAGCTTGACTTTTTCCTCTGGCTGAATGAGTTTGGAGTCTGGAGTACCAAAATTTAATTTCTTTTCACAACTTCAAACCTTAAAACAACTCCATGAGTAGTTTCAAAGACACAAGATTCATATTTAACCAAGGGTTTTTATTTACTGTGCACTTTCTGCTTAAAAAGAGATTTATCTTAGGAGAGCCTGCCTTTGTTGATGAACAGACAAGTAGCCCAGATGGATGGGCCAGTTCCGGCTGACCATGACCCATTTTCTGACTGTTTCCATCAGCTCTGTTCTCCTGTGCTCACAGAATTGGCCCACAGTTCTCTCCTAGGGCAGTGTTTCTGACAGTGAGATTCTGGGACCAGCCACTTTAGCAACACTTGAGAACTTGTTAGAAATAGAAGTTCTCAGGCTCCTTCACAGACCAGCTGAGTCAGGAACTAGCAGTTGAGCCCAGCAGTCTGTGTTTTCACCAGGCTTCCCAGTGATTCTGATGGCCTTCATGTGAATCATCCTCCAGACAGGACGGCAGTAGTGGCTTCCTCTTTATTCTATAAGGGCATTGCTTGCAGTTTTCCTGAAATTGAGGAACCTCACTCACGGCCTGAGTCTTGGCTCTCCTTCTCTCTCTATTCAGGGTCTGAGGAATACATAGTGGAGGTGGGTCAGAATGCCTATCTGCCCTGCTTCTACACTCTGGACACTCCAGGGAACCTCGTGCCTGTATGCTGGGGCAAAGGAGCCTGTCCTGTGTTTGAGTGTGGCGATGTGGTGCTCAGGACTGATGAAAGGGATGTGAGTTATCGGACTTCTAGCAGATACTGGCTAAACGGGGATTTCCACAAAGGAAATGTAACCCTGGCCATAGGTAATGTGACTCTAGAAGACAGCGGAATCTACTGCTGCCGGGTCCAAATCCCAGGCATAATGAATGATAAGAAATTTAACCTGAAGTTGGTCATCAAACCAGGTGAGTGGACCTTTGCATGCCTGCTTTATGAATAAGATTTATCGGTGGATCATATTAAAGGTACTGATTGTTCTCACCTCTGACCTCCCTATTTATAGCCCTGAAGGTGGGCCCCTAAACCTAAAGTTCAACAGGCCCCATCAGTGATGCTCAGTGATATTTAACACCTTCTATCTGTTTTAAAACTCATGGGTGGCTGGGCACAGTGGCCCACACGTGTAATCCCAGCACTTTGGGAGGCTGAAGTGGGCGGATCACGAGGTCAGCAGTTCAAGACCGTCCTGGCCAAAATGGGGAAACCCCATCTCTACTAAAAATACAAAAATTAGCTGGATGTGGTGGCATGTGCCTGTAGTCTCAGCTACTTGGGAGGGGTACATTTCATTCATGGAAATCCCCCTTTAGTAGTTCAAGGAGAATTGTTTGAACCTGGGAGGCAGAGATGGCATCACTGCACTTCAGCCTGGCAGAGTGAGACTCTCAAAATAAAAACAAAAACAAAAGTAATGGGTGCGGCCGGGCACCCATTTCCTGTAATCCTAGAAATTTGGGAGGTCAAGGCAGGCGGATTGTGAAGTCAGAAGTTCAAGACCAGCCTGGCCAAATTAGTGATACCCTGTCTCTACTAAAACTACAAAAAATTAGCTGGGTGTGGTGGTGGGCACCTGTAATTCCAGCTACTCAGAAGACTGAGGCAGGAGAATCACTTGAACCTGGGAGGCAGAGGTTGCAGTGAGCCAAGATGACGCCATTGCAGTCCAGCCAGGGTGACAAGAGTGAATCTCCATCTTAAAAAAAAAAAAAGACAGGCCGGGCGCAGTGGCTCCTGCCTGTAATCCCAGCACTTTGGGAGGCTGAGGTGGGCGGATCACCTGAGGTCAGGAGTTTGAGACCAACCTGATCAATATGGTGAAACCCTATCTTTAAAAAAATATATAAAATTAATTAATTTTAAAAAAGCGCCTCATGGGTGAATTTTTAGATGGGAAAAAAAGGCCTAGATCAGTGGTTAGAGACCGTGACTGCTCATTAGAATCACATGAAGAGTTTTTAAACAGCTATAGATGCCAGGTATGGTGGCTCATGCCTATAATCCCAACACTTTGAAAGGCTGAAGCAGGAGGATCACTTGAGGCCAGGAGTTTGAGACCAGCCTGGCCACTATAGTGTGACTATCCCATCGAAGAAGAAGAAGAAGAGGAAGAAGAAGAAGAAGAAGAAGAAGGAGAAGAAGAAGAAGAAGGAGGAGGAGGAGGTGGAGGAGAGGAGGAGGAGAGGAGGAGGAGGAGGAGGAGGAGGAGGAGAAAGAAGAAAGAGAAGAAAGAAGCCACTACCAAAAACCAGAGAAATCAGCATCTCTGGAGGTAGATCCTAAGCATTAGCTCTTTACAGAGTCTATCCCAGGTGATTCTACCCCATGTGCAGCCAGCATGGTGAACCGCTGGGTTGTGTGTATATGCTGGGAGGGGAACAGACTTGTGTGTTTTAAGATTTCTATAACATCTGCTTTGTGCTCAGAGAGAGCTGAGTTTAAATCTGACTTTGCCTCTTACTAGTTATATAATAATCCTGGGTAAGTTATTGAAATGATGTGACCTCCTTCTCTGTAAAATATAACAATAATACCTATCATGTGGGCCATTAGAAGGATTTTATGTGGTAATATTTTATGAAAAACATTTAAAGGTTGGGCATCCCAAATCTGAAATGCTCCAAAATCTGAAATGCTCTAAAATCCAAAACTTTTTGGACACTGACATGACATTCAAAGGAAATGCTCATTGGAGTATAAGCACAGTGCAGATACTAAAACATCCAAGAAATGGCTGGGTGCGGTGGCCTCACACCTGTAATCCCAGCACTTTGGGAGACCAAGGAGGGTGGATCACCTTAGGTTGGGAGTTTGAGACCAGCCTGACCAACATTGAGAAACCCCATCTCTACTAAAAGTACACAATTAACCAGGTGTGGTAGTGGTGCACGCCTATAATTCCAGGTACTTGGGAGGCTGAGGCAGGAGAATTCCTTGAACCCAGGAGGCAGAGGTTGCGGTGAGATGAGATTATGCCATTGAACTCCAGCCTGGGCAACAAGAGTGAAACTCCATCTCAAAAAAAAAAAAAAATCTAAAAAACTCAAAATCAGAATGTAACCATGATGACTGAATCTTACCTTTGTCAAACATTTGAAGTGTATGAAACACTTCAAATGTAGGTATCCAAGCAGGTTTGAAAACTGAGGCGGTATCTCTCTTTCTTCCTTGTCTTTCACGTTTTTTTCCTGCTGCTCTTTTAATTCCCTGAAATAAGCTTTCTGCTCTCAGATAATTTTCATCTTTATGTTGGTTTGTGACATTAGCCAAGGTCACCCCTGCACCGACTCTGCCGAGGGACTCTACTCCAGCCTTTCCAAGGATGCTTACCACCGAGGATCACGGCCCAGGTAACTATGCATAGGGCAGAGGAGAAACTCTTTAGCTGGCTCTGAATTCAGAGGATTTTGAATGTGGGGAAAAAGATGAGAAAGCAGTGTGAGAGTGGAGGCAGGGATGTTTCTGGGCACCTGAAACAGTGTTTGAGAAGAGGGGAGTGGTGGAGACACCCCTGTGCTGGGAAAAAGATGCTCTGGATTAGGATTACTTAAAATTTTAATTTTAAAAAATGTTAATAAACTTTATAGTCTTTTATTTTACCCAAATATTAACTAAATTTAATGAAATAGTCATTACAGTGTCTGCATTTTCTGTACTGGTGATGTTTCATCATGAATTGGTGCCAGTCTGTGTTTGAGAACTGATACATTGGATTAGGTGATTTCTAGGCTACCTCTAGCTAGAATAAAGCCCATCAGCTTCCCTGGATTTTAACCTCAGAAGGCGTAGCTAAATTCTTTATGTAATTCAGCAAGGACATACCCAGGGTGCTCCAGAAGAGAACTCTGGGCAGAAAGCGGAAGTCAGGTCACAACGATCATGGAGGTTCATTTAAAGTGATTTCTCATCAATGTCCTGGTCTCGCCTAATCTCTCTGGAGCTCCATTTTTTTTTTTTAATCTCCTGTAAAATGAGGTTAATAGGTAAGTCCTACCTCATAATATCATAAATCTCATAAATCACACCTTACGATATGTTTATTTTTATTTTATTTTTATTTTTTTGAGACGGAGTTTTGCTCGTTACCCAGGCTGGAGTGCAATGGTGCAATCTCGGCTCACTGCAACCTCCGCCTCCTGGGTTCAAGTGATTCTCCTGCCTCAGCCTCCCGAGTAGCTGGGACTACAGGCACACGCCACCATGCCCAGCTAATTTTTGTATTTTTAGAGACAGGGTTTCACCATGTTGACCAGGATGGTCTCGATCTCTTGACCTCGTGATCCACTGTCCTCAGCCTCCCAAAGTGCTGGGATTATAGGCGTGAGCCACCGCATCTGGCCACCTTATGAGATTTAAATAAGAAAATGTCTAAAACGTTTAGCCTAATGTCTGACCACAATGTGTACTCAGTACATGTTAGCTGTTGTTGTTAATATCATAAGATCAGGAGGCAGAATGAGACTGTGGTTAAAGTACTTCGGACAGATGGAATGGGTTCTAATTTCAGCTCTTCTTGCTAGCTCTGTGACCTAAGTCAAGTTGCTCAACTTCTCTGAAGCTCAGTTTCCTCATTTCTACAATGAGGAGAATTCCACTGCCCATGTCGTGAGGTTGTTGTAATGTACAAACGGGATAATGTATGTAAAATGCTCAGCATAGTACCAGGCCCATAGAAAGCACTCAGATGTTTGTTATTACTATAGTTACTAGTTTTAGCTTTCCAAAGGTTCAGTCTCTAGTTATTCTTTAGTAATTGTTAGCCAACATCTCTTAGGCAATTAGAGAGAAAATTAAATATGATGGGGACAGATGATAACCACATTGTGGACTAATCAAGTCATATCAGATACTTATTGTATACCATTGTTTTATACACATATATATATATATATATATATATTTTTTTTTTTTTTTTTTTTTTCCTTTGAAACAGAATCTTGCTCTGTCGCCTAGGCTGGAGTGTAGTGGTACGACCTCGGCTCACTTCAACCTCTGCCTCCTGGGTTCAAGTGAGTCTCTTGCCTCAGCCTCCTGAGTAGCTGGGACGACAGGCGTCCACCACCATACCCGGCTATTTTTCTGTATTTTTAGTAGAGACGGGGTTTTGCCTTGTTAGCCAGTGTGGTCTTGAACTCATGACCTCAGGCAATCCATCTGCCTCCGCCTCCCAAAGTGCTGGGATTATAGGCGTGAGCCACTGTGCCCAGCTGCCATTGTTATATTTTAAAGAATCCTACAACCATAGACGTAGAAGGGACTTCAAGGATCATTTAATCTCACTTTCCCATCCTGTGCTTCAGTGCTTTTTACCACATCACCACTGAGTGGACATTTGCTGTAGAAGGAGTTCACTCCCTGTCGAAGTGATGCATTTCCTTATACTTGTCTCCACCACAGACAGATATCTTCTTCCCTTTAGTTTTTCTTTTTTTTTTTTGTTTGAGACAGAGTCTCACTCTGTCACCCAGGTTGGAGTGCAGTGGTGTGATCTCGGCACACTGCAACCTCTGCCTTCTGGGTTCAAGCAGTTCTCCTGCCTCAGCCTCCCAAGTAGCTGAGATTACAGATTCCCGCCATCATGCCCAGCTAATTTTTGTATTTTTAGTAGAAACAGGGTTTCACCATGTTGGCCAGGCAGGTCTCAAACTTCTGACCTCAGGTGATCTGCTCCCAAATTGCTGGGATTATAGGCGTGAGCCACCACACTCAGCTTTCCCTTTGGCTTTTGCTTGTTAGTTCCTGCCCTCTAGGGCAACAAAAATGGGAATATAGGCACAATACCTTGAATCTCTGAGCTTCTCAAGGGCCTGAGAAAAAATACTGAAACAACCAAAAGTAGGGCAGTATTCCGAAACAGGAAAATAAAATAAAAAGTTGAAATCAATGAATATTTAATGGCTTGCCTGTAATATGTAGCATTATATAAATTGGCTGCTGGCAAACCAACTCTAAATGTGGAATGTGGGAGCATTTAATATAAAAATGAGGCTGGGTACAGTGGCTCACACCTGTAATCCCAGCACAATGGGAGGCCAAAGCAGGCAGATCACTTGAGCTCAGGAGTTTGAAACCAGCCTGGGCAACGTGGCAAAACCCCATCTCTACTAAGAATACAAAAAATTAGATGGGGCACAGTGGCTCATGCCCGTAATTCCATCACTTTTGGAGGCCAAGGCAGGCAGATCACCTGAGGTCAGGAGTTCAAGACCAGCCTGGTCAACATGGTGAAATGCCATCTCTACTAAAAGCACAGAAATTAACTGGGCATTGTGGTGCATGCCTGTAATTCCAGCTACTAGGGAGGCTGAGGCAGGGGAATCGTCTGAGCCTGGGAGATGGAGGTTGCAGTGAGCCGAGATGTCACAGTTATACTCAAGCCTGGACAACAGAATGAGACTGTCTTAAAAAAAAAAAAAAAAAAAAGCCAGGCATGGTGGCATGTGCCTGTAGTCCCAGCTACTTGGCCGGGGTCTGAGGCAGGAGGATTTCTTGAATCCAGGAGGTTGAGGATTCACTGAGCTGAGATGGTGCTACTATACTCCAAGCCTGAGCAACAGAGCAAGACTCTTCCTCAGAGGGGTGAAGAAAATGGAGTGGAGCCTTTAAAAATAAAGAGATCTGGGCCGGGCGTAGTGGCTCATGCCTGTTATCCCAGTACTTTGAGAGGCCGAGGTGAGTGGATCACGAGGTCTAAAAATACAAAAAAATTAGCTGGACATGGTGGCGCCTGCCTGTAATCCCAGCTACTCAGGAGGCTGAGGCAGGAGAATTGCCTGTTCCCAGGAGGCGGAGGTTTCGGTGAGCTGAGATCACGCCATTGCACTCCAGCCTGGGTAACAAGAGCGAAACTCCGTCTCAAAAATAAATAAAATAAAATAAAATAAAAAATAAAAATAAAGAGATCCAAGGGCTTGGAATTTGAATACAGACCAAATGCGCCTTCTCTTCTACCTGAAGGAGGAAGGACTGGGTCGCAAGTGAAGCCGCAGCTCTGCTGTAGACCTGCTTTAAATCCTAACTTTCCCAGTTAATAGCTGTGTGATCTTGGGTAAAGCGGCTCTCTCAGAGTCAGTATCTTTATCTGAAAAATGGGAAAAGTAGTAGTACCTACTTATTTTGGTGAGGATTAAATGAGATTCTATGTGTACAGTGCTGAGCACCATGTCTGGCACATAATAAGTACCGAATAAATGGTAACTACTACGTTTATACACTGTTAAGGCCTTAAGGCCGTCACATCTCACCTCCACTGCTACCTGCCCACCCCCCGCCCCCACCCCCGCCCAGGCAAATCTTGGGTTCTCCAGAAAGAACACTGCCACTCCCTCCAACTCTCCCGTCCATCTTGGTTGGTGGCCAAATCTGTGTGAAAAAAAGCTGTAATGACACAACCATGCTTGATTTTAATGATCATTTTCATTAGCAAAATGTAGTTGGAAAAAAGTTAGTTTTACCATTTTTATCAAGAAAAATAATTATAGGGAAGCTGAAACTGGATTTACATTTGAAAATCTTATCTGCAGCTCAGATTCATGTTTATTTAGCAGTTGTACTGATGTGGTTTTATACTTTAAATTTTTTTCTGGTAATTAGGGCAATGTAAGTGGAATATCATCTTTTTTTCTTTAATAATTTTAGGCTGAGGGTATGCCTTTATAATATTTAAATTATAGTTTGTTAAACCAGCATTTAGTCAAACCCTTTATACACAGGAAAGGGTTTAGACTTTTAGGCTTCCGGAAGGTGTCTGTGACATTTGAGGACTTTCGACATCTCTGACTCAGCCAAAAAAATGAGTAAGCATGCTTAGTCTCCCCAAAGCTAGCAATGTACTTATTTTTAGAATTCAGTGTTCATGAGGTCAGGGCCTATGCCCCTCTTGTTCCCTGCTCTGTCCCCGGTACCTCGAGTAAGGGCGTAGTGCATATTCATAGAAAGGATGAGGAGATGAAGAAATGAATGAACAGAAAGGAAAGATGGTGAGCAGGTGGCTGCAGTGTGGCCCTCTTCATGATGACGGCACTGAGGAAAAGCCTGTTGAAGGCAGTATCATTAAGAATGTGCGTTTAAAGCTCTGCAGACCTAAATCGGAAGGCCATTTTGTCATTTGCTAAGTTGTGCGACCTTGGGTTAGTCACTTCACTTCCCTAATTTTAATTTCTTCATCTGTGCAATGGGACTAATAGTCCTGACTTTAGAAGAGTGGTTTTTGAATGAGATACTTCACTGAAAGAGTTTAGCACAAGGCCTGGCTCCTATTACATTGTGGCCACGGTGATTATTTTCATCTGTAGGCAACCAAATATCCTGTCTCCCTTCTAATGAGTAAATGCAAAACTTATTTAAGGAAACAGAGGTCAGGTATGGCATGGTGGCTCACGCCTGTAATCCCAGCATTTTGGGAGGCCGAGGAGGGTGGATCACTTGAGGTCAAGAGTTTGAGACCAGCTTGGCCAACATGGCAAAACCTGTCTCTACTAAAATACAAAATTAACTGGGTGTGGTGGTGTGCCCCTGTAGTCCCAGGTACTCGGGAGGCTGAGACAGGAGAATTGCTTGAACTCAGGAGGCAGAGGTTGCAGTGAGCTGAGATTGCACCACTGCACTCCAGCCTGGGTGACAGAGCGAGACACCATGTCAATAAATAAATAAATAATGCCTGAATATTATCAATATTGCTGGATTTTGTAGAACCCACTAGGATCCTGTGGACAAAACAAACCACATATTTAATGTAAAACTTCCTGGCAGAAGTCTCTATTTCATGAAATAGTAGGTTTATTATCTAGATGAAAAAAATGTGACCATCCTAATGTTGATTCCTGGGTGTTCAGTAAATTTTGTTGGTCTCCCAGTTAATTATTGTAAAGAGTATGGAGTAGAATTTGTTTCAAATAGGATCATAGGTATCTTTAAAATGAAAAAAACCTTAGATAAAGGAAAACATTCTTAACTATTCTATTGGCTATTTTCTCTCTCTCTCTCTTTATAGCAGAGACACAGACACTGGAGATCCTCCATGATAAAAATCTCACAGTAAGTAACCTTTTGTTGTGAGCTATGTTGTGCTCAACTTGGAAGGGAAAAGTATGGCTTTAGGGCCAGGCACAGTGGCTCACACCTGTAATCCCAGCACTTTGGGAGGCCAGGTGAGTAGATTACCTGAGGTGAGGAGTTCAAGACTAGCCTGACCAACAAGGTGAAACCCTGTCTCCACCAAAAATACAAAATTAGCTGGGTGTGGTGGAGCGCGCCTGTAGTCCCACCTACTCGGGAGGCTGAGGCAGGAGAACCGCTTGAACCCAGGAGGCAGAGGTTGCCGTGAGCTGAGATCACACCTTGCACTCCAGCCTGAGCAGCAAGAGCAAAACTCTGTCTCAAAAAAAAAAAAAAAAGTATGGCTTTAGACTTCCTTCATGCCCACCCTTTTCTTGGGGTAAAAAGCCTTAAGTTCTCTTAGCTTCAGATTCCTAGGCTGTAACATGTTGATGAAATTCTAACCTCATAGGTTTGTTGTAATGAAGGACTGAGGTGGTGTATGTAAAGTGCCTGACACACAGTAAAAGCTTGAAAACCGCAAGAAGAAACATTAGCATTTTGTCCCTCTTATTCTTCAATTTCACAACTGCCTACCCTGTGGAAGGTTCAAAGATTCTTCATCTCCCTAGAATACCTTTCTGCTTGATTCCATTGCAGTCCTAATGGGAAAGATTATTTAAATTTACCTCTTTATATATCATAAGATGCCAGTCAGAAATATTCAAAGCCAAGAGTTTATATATTTAACTATAAATAAATCCGTACCTTAATCTTAATTTTACTGTCCCTGCTACCTTATTAAAATAAAATAAAAACCTGCAGGGCACAGTGGCTTACCCCTGTAATCCCAGCACTTTGGGAGGTGGAGAAGGGTGGATCACCTGAGATCAGGAGTTTGAGAGCAGCCTGGCCAACGTGGTGAAACCTCGTCTCTACTAAAAATACAAAAAATTGGCCTGGTGTGGTGGTGTGTGCCTGTAGTCCCAGCTATTCCAGAGGCTGAGGCAGGAGAATCACTTGAACCCAGGAGGTGGAGGCTGCAATGAGCCAAGGCTGTGCCATTGTATGCCAGCCTGAGCAACAAGAGTGAAACTTTGTCTCAAAAAAAAGAGTAAAAAAATACCACTAGAAAGCAAACTTGCAGCAGTGACTTAAAAATTCTTTGAGGAGGCAGGGCACAGTGTCTCCTGCCTGTAATCCCAGCACCTTAGGAGGCCAAGGAAGGACTGCTTGAGACCAGGAGTTTGAGACTAGCCTGGGCCACATAGTGACACCCTGTCTCTACAAACAATTTTTTAAAATTGGCCAGGTGTGGTGTCACATACCTATAGTCTCAGCTGCTTGGGAGGCTGAGGCAGGAGGATCGCTTGAGCCCAGGAAGTCGAGGCTACAATGAGCTGTGATCATGCCACTGCACTCCATCCTAGGTGACAGGGGGAGACCTTGTCTCAAAAAAAAAAAAAAAATTGCTTGGGGACATATCCAGGAGTCCGCATTCATTTGACTCAGTTTTTTTATTTTAACTTTTTTCTCTTTTTTCTTTTTTTCCTGAGAATATTCTAAGTACTGACTCAGTTTCTTGCTTGTGTATTCACAACTGATGCTCAGCAACTTGTCTTTGCTCCGTCTCTCTTTGCAATCAAACAGTGCTTTTTAAGTACCTCTATATGCCCACAATGCTTAATGCCCAATACCTTGCATATAGGACTCCTGTTATTGCAGGAGTAATGTGTATTGAATAAATGTGTAAATGTGTATTGAATAAATGGAAGATTTAAATTCCTTAAATCATTGTTTTAAAAATGTTTATAATTATTTGTGTGCGCGCATGTGTGTGTGTGTGTGTGTGTGTGTTGTATAAATAGGGTCTCAATATGTTGCCCAGGCTGGTCCTTAACTCCTTGCCTCAAGTGATCCTCTTAGCCTCTCAAAGTGCTGGGATTACAGGCATGAGCCTGGCCTACAGTGACTGTTTATTGTTTATTTACTTATTTATTTTTGAGATGGAGTTTCCCTCTTGTCACTCAGGCTGGAATGCAGCGGTGTGCTATTTGCCAGGCTGGAGTGCTATTTGCTGCTTATATTTTCTGTCACTTAGTTTTCCTGATAACTCTACAGGATTTTTAGTGGCAGAGCTAGGATTTGTTTTTGTTTTGTTTTGTTCAGGGGAGCATGCAGTGGCACGATCTCAGCTCACCGCAATCTCTGCCTCCTGGGTTCAAGCGATTCTCCCACCTCAGCCTCCCCAGTAGCTAGGATTACAGGCACATGTCACCATGCCTCTCTTAGTCTTTTTAGTAGAGACGGGGTTTCACCATGTTGACCAGGTTGGTCTCAAACTCCTGATGTCAGGTGATCCGCCCACCTTGGCCTCCCAAAGTGCTGGGATTACAGGTGTGAGCCACTGTGCCTGACCTCAGAGCTGGGATTTAAATTCAGGACTGTCTGGCTATAAAGTCTTGGCTACTGAATCACTGTCTTTTTGTGAAAATTAGGGGTTTCACAGTAAGAGACCAAATGTGGACTACTATAAAACTGGGGAATATTAGGGGATCTTGAACCAACAAGACTTCACTCTAGGGACAGGGAAAGGGTCTGTTACTAAGAGCTCCTTCTCCACCCACAACACAGAAGGGCACATTTTGTTTCCTTGCTAACTCCAAAGGTTAAGCGAATCCCTTCCTTAGGTTGGCTTGAGTCTTGACTACACGATGACAGATCAAGGGTGATTTCAAGAACCCTGTGACCCTGTGATGTTGTAAAAGGGATGGTCCAATTCACAAATCATGAGACTGAGTGCACAAGTGATTTCTAGCTTTTTGCTGCTTAAATCCTGTTTGTGTTTCTATAGCAACTCTCCACACTGGCCAATGAGTTACAGGACGCTGGAACAACTATCAGAATAGGCGTCTACATCGGAGCAGGGGTCTCTGCTGGGCTGGCTCTGGCTCTTATCTTTGGTGCTTTAATTTTCAAATGTAAGTCTTTTTGTTTCTCTCTCCCTCTGATAACAAATTCTTAAATGGGAACCATTAAAAACCTAGATAAAAATGCAAATTCATATTTATACTTAAAGATGATTAGACTAAAAACCCTTTTGTCCATCCAAACTCTAACAATACGGACTAATTTGTATTTACTATTTACCGTGTGTCAGGTAGGCACTGGGTTAAATGTTTTACATACATTTTATCATCATTACTGTTTTACAAGATAAGGAGTAGTACCATTCCCATTTTACAGTGGAGGGAAGTCGAGCGTAGAGTAAGCTGCCTTCTCAAGGTTCCAACATCAGTACCTGGCAGAACTGGGATTCAAATCCAGGCAGGCTGATTCCAGTAACTGTTCTCTTATTTTTGGTTAAGAAAACTAATCTCTTTAACTCATTAATATGTCTAGGTTTGTTAGGGAACACAGCAACAAAAAGACACTTCCTGGTGTGCACTTGTCTGTTACTGGGTTCTCAGGCATAGCTCTTTGGGAGTAGATTTCAAGTCTCTTTAACACTGGGTCATGATTGGTGTTACAGAATGTTTTCCTCCATCATGGTACTTAGCACATAGCATTTTTTTTTAAAAAGTTACTTATCCTTTTAAAAAGGAAACAAAACAAAACAAAAAACAGGCCAGGCTCAGTGTCTCATGCCTGTAATCTCAGCTCTTTGGGAGGCTGAGGCGGGTGGATCATTTGAGGTCAGGAGTTCAAGACCAGCTTGGCCAACATGATGAGACCCCCATTTCTACTAAAATTACAAAATTAGCCAGGCATGGTGTCTCATGCCTGTAATCCCAGCTACTCCGGAGGCTGAGGCAGGAGAATTGCTTGAACCTGGGAGGTGTAGGTTGCAGTGAATCAAGATCACGCCATTGCACTCTAGCCTGGGCAACAAGAGCAAAGCTCTGTCTCAAAAACAAAACAAAACAAACAAACGAAAAAGACTAAAGGGTGTTCCTAAGATATTTGGGACTTCCAGGGCTAAAACTGGAACAGTCCAAGAAAAACAGGGATGAGTTGATCACCCCGCTAACTGCAGACTGAAGCTGCCAAGTGCTTTACGTGCATTAAATTCTCATAACTATCCTATGAGGCAGGCACTAATATGTTTCTAATGGAGAATCAGCGTGCTAAAAGGTTGTCACTTGTCTGCATTTATACAGTTAATTGATAGATATAGGATTTGAACCCAGGGCTCTCCTGCTCCTCACCATTATGGTTTCAGCCATTATTGTTAAACAGATTATTCAGAAAAAGAAACTACCCCACCCATACTTACCTGGATTTATTCAGAGATAGCCATGGAATTTTTGAATGGATCACATGAATACATATATATATATAATTTATTTATTATTATTATTATTGAGGCAGTCTTATTCTGTGACCCAGGTGCTGGAGTACAGTGGTGCATTCTTGGCTCACTGCAGCCTCTGCCTCCTGGGTTCAAGCAATTCTTGTGCCTCAGCTCCTGAGTAACTGTGATTACAGGCATGGGCCACCACATATGGCTAGGTTTTGTTTGGTTTTTGTTAGAGATGGGGTTTTGCCGTGTTGCCTAGGTTGGTCTCAAACTCCTGAGCTCAAGCGATCCTCCTACTTCAGCCTCCCAAAGTGCTGGGATTATAGGCATGATGAATATATACATATTTAAAAATAGAGATGGGGTCTTGCTATGTTGTTCAGGCTGGTCTGAAACCTGGCCTCAAGAAATCCTCCCACCTCAGCCTGCCAAAATGCTGGGATTATAGGCATAAGCCATTGTGTCTGGCCTCCTGTAAGTATTTTGAAAATGGCCTAGGGAATATTAAGGAGCAATGATAATATCCACTACTTTTTTTGAGTTCTGCCAAGGCTCAAAGTAAAACTTTGAGTTTTACTATTATATATATTAGAGACCACTTTATATATATATTAGGGACCATGGTTTATACATATTAGAAATTATTCTAATTTGTATAAAGAGTAACGGAGCATGGAGTAAATCTGATACTTTGTACACATACATTTATGCCACTCCAAAAAACATGGTGACTGAGAAGAACAGATAAGAAAGTCCTGTTTAGTTTCCAATCTTTTCCCTGGGAATTGCTGGAGAAAATATGAAAATCAGGGTGACAGCTTTTTAAGTCATGAACTCACAAAAACAAATCGGCCCAGTAATGCGCCACAATCTTCCGTCTTTCTAGTAAACCCTCTTAGATGGCCATCGTGCTTCAGGGCTGCTCAAACCTTCTTTGCCCCTCTTCCTAACTGAGGAAATACCAAAGGGCTGTTTCATCTCCATTGCCTAGGCCAAGACTTCATCCTTCTTTTTATCCCTTTCTTTTGAGTCATATCTCTCCTTTTCTATTTATGTTCTAGTCCATGCATTCCTCTCCAGCTGCTCCCATGTCTCAACTCTTTATCACAGCTGTATTTTTCAAATTAGCTGTCCCTACTTTTTATCCGTCTACACTCCTTGACCAACCATCATCTAGTTTCTACTCCAAAGCACCATGAAAATGGTCAAGGTCACACCAATTATCTTCATTTTTCTTTTCTTTTTTTTTTTTTTTTGAGACGGAGTTTCGCTCTAGTTACCCAGGCTGGAGTGCAATGGCGCGATCTCGGCTCACTGCAACCTGTGCCTCCTGGGTTCAGGCAATTCTCCTGCCTCAGCCTCCTCAGTAGCTGGGATTACAGGCACCCACCACCATGCCCAGCTAATTTTTTTGTATTTTTAGTAGAGATGGGGTTTCACCATGTTGACCAGGATGGTCTCGATCTCTTGACCTCGTGATCCACCCGCCTCGGCCTCCCAAAGTGCTGGGATTACAGGCGTGAGCCACCGCGCCTGACCCATTTTTCTAAATTAAATATTAATAGATACCGTTATCTTTTCTTTTTCTTTTTTTTCTCGAGATGGAGTTTCACTCTTGTTGCCTAGGCTGAAGTACAATGATGCAATCTCAGCTCACTGCAACCTTTACCTACCGGGTTCAAGCAATTCTCCAGCCTCAGCCTCCTGAATAACTGAGATTACAGGCATGCACCAACTGGCTAATTTTTGTATTTTTAGTAGAAGCAGTGTTTCACCATGTTCACTAGGCTGGTCTCAAACTCTTGACTTCAGGTTATCCTCCCGCCTTGGCCTCCCAAAGAGCTAGGATTACAGGCATTAGCCACTGCACCCAGCCTGATACCTTTGTCTTTATTATAGTCAACTTTTAAGTTGATCACTTATTCTAGAAAGTCTTCCTTCTGTTGGCTTCTAAAATGGCCTTCTCCTATTTGATTGGCCCTTGCTCTTCAGTGCTTCTTTTGCCTGATCCTTAGATGCTGAGATTCCTTAGAGCTGGGTGTGGTGATACATGCCTGTAGTCCCAGCTACTCAAGAGTCTGAGGAAGAAGGATCACTTGAGCCCAAGAGTTTGAGGCTGTGAACTATGATCTTGCCACTGCATTCCGGCCTAGGTGACACAGGGAGACTGTCTCAAAGAAAAACAACAATGAAAAAGATTCCTACAGTCTTTCTCCAAAATATATCTAAAGTCTTTTCATTATACTGCATCTCTTTTGGCCATTATCTTACTCCAAAGCAGCATTTTCTCTACTTAATTTATCTTCTCATTTCTTTATTCCTCCTTCAAATCCAATATTAAAACCCAAATCAATGTCTGGGCACAATGGCTCATGCCTATAATCCTAACACTTTGGGAGGCCAAGACAGGAGAGTCACTTGAGGTCAGGAGTTTGAGACCAGTCTGGCAACATATTGAGATTCTGAAAAAAAAAAAAAAAAAAAAGTAAAAATAATTTTTTTGAGACAGTCTAGCTCTGTTGCCCAGGCTGGAGTGCAGTGGTGCAGTCATGGCTCACTGCAACTTCTGCCTCCCGAGTTCAAGCAGTGCTCCTGGTTCAGCCTCCAAGTAGTTGGAACCACAGGCACGTGCCACCACACCTGGCTAATTTTTGTATTTTTAGTAGAAGTGGGGTTTTGCCATGTTTCCCAAGCTGGTCTTGAACTCCTGAACTCAAGAAATCCGCCTGCCTTGGCCTCCCAAAGTGCTGGGATTACAGGTATAAGCCACTGTGTCCGGCCCAAAAAGATTAAAAAAAATTATCCAGCAGGCCAGGCTTGGTGGCTCACACCTGTAATCCCAGCACTTTGGGAGGCCAAAGTGGACGGACTGAGGTCAGGAGATCAAGACTATCCTGGCCAACATTGGCGAAACCCTGTCTCTACTAAAAATACAGAAAAATTAGCTGGGCATAGTGGCACACAGCTGTAGTCCCAACTACTCGGGAGGCTGAAGCGGGAGAATTGCTTGAACCTGGGAGGCGGAGGTTGCAGTGAGCCGAGATCATGCCACTGCACTCCAGCCTGGAAACAAAGTGAGACTCCATTTCAAAAAAAAATTATTCAGTTTTGCTGGTGTGCACCTATAGTTTTAGCTACTCAGGAAGCTGAGATGGGTAGATCCATTGAGCCCAGGAGTTCAAGGTTGCAATCAGCTATGATCTTGCCACTGCATTCCAGCCTGGCCAACAGAGCAAGAATGTGTCTCAAAAAAAAAAAAAAAAGAAAAAGAAAAATTTTAAGTTTCAGATTTTTGAAACTGCATCCCCAGAAGACACCTTGAAAGACATCATGAAAGACCTTGATCCAGAGGTACCCAGTAAGCCACACCTGGACTCCTGACCACAACACAGAAATGATGAGATACATTTCTCAAATGATGAGAAAGTATTGTTTTCAGCTGCTAAAAAGAAACCCCAAACAAATAAGGATCATATCTCTGCCCTTCAAGGAAATATAAGATTTTCTACAGATCCCAGAATAAAATCGAAACTCCTGATTATGGCTGGAGAGGTCTTATTGTACCTAGCCTTAGTTTACCTTTCAGACCTAATCTTGGGTCAGTCCCTTAGTCCAGCCATGTTTTCCGTTTCAGACACTCACCAAGATCTTTACCAGGGGCTCTCTCATTCTGGAATGCTCCTTCTGCTTTTTACTTGGCTAACTCATTTCAGAAATGAGCTTAAAGGTCATCTTTGGAGGTTCTTCCCTGACCAACCTCTGTATTACCTGTTTCAGTATGATGTTGGTTTCCTTTATAATACATCGTAATTTGAAATTAGTTTTTCCTATTTACTGTTTTCTCTTTTTTGAGTCAGAGTCTTGCTCTGTCACCCAGGCTGGAGTGCAGTGGCACAATCTCGACTCACTGCTACCTCCACCTCCCGGGTTCAAGCGATTCTCCTGCCTCTGTCTCCTGAGTAGCTGGGATTAAAGGCATGTGTGGCAGCATGCTCGGCTGAATTTGTATTGTTAGTAGAGATGGGGTTTCTCCATGTTGGTCAGGCTGGTCTCAGGTCGGGAGTACTGTTTTATTGCTTTGGTCTCCTGAGGGAGAACGCAAGTCATGAAATTAGGGCTCACAGTCCGCTTTACATTCTCGTGTTCCTTGTGCCTAGCAAACTGCCGGACGCATAGTAGAGGCCTCATCATATCTGTTAAATAAGAAAAATGCATCTTTATTACTATTTTCTAGCACAGTCCAGATAATTATCTAAGGCACACACTGAGAGTGTCATTTGATTCCATCCAAGGTGAGAGCAGATTTCCCTACACAATGCGTGAGCCTGTTTGATTGCTTGTCCCACCTATTTTATGAAGGCATTTTTATTTTGACTTTTCTTTCCCCGCTACCTAGGGTATTCTCATAGCAAGGCGAAGTTACAGAACTTAAGGTAAGAATAATGGAATGGAGTTGGGGAAAGGGGACAGTCTTGGAGGTCCCTACTGTAATATGTCTGATGTTTATCTGAGGAGTCCTGCCCTGGGGATTTGGGATCAGCTTATATTTCCTTTTTCTCTAGGTCTAATTATGAAGTGAAAGTATAACATGCTGCTGTGTTTACTTCCTGATACCTCTAGCTTCTTTAGTTCTAAAGTTAAGGTATAGAATTTATCTCCCTAATAATACAACATGCTTATTTATCTCAATATTAATCGTTTTTTCAGTGAACTGAATCTTCAGCAGATTGAGATCTTATTATATCCAGGATCTGGGCTGGACTTTGGCATTACAGAAATGAGCAGGAAACCCAGCATCTGTTCTCAGCATTTCTGTAAACCAGCCCAAGCATTTTCAACTTTGGTTTCCTATTAGAATCACCCAGGCACTGAAGTGTACTAATGCAGGGCCAACCCCAGAGGAACTGAATCAGAATCTCTGGGGATGAGGCCTAAGCACAGGTATTGTTCTAAAAGCTCTCCAGGTGATTCTAGTGAACAATCAGGGCTGAGAACTACGAGTCTATTATAGACTCCTGGCTTAACCTTAATTACTGAGTACACACACACACACACACACACACACACACACACACACCCATCCATTTCAAATAGATATAGCTTACAGAACTTACTAGCTTTTAGACTTTTTTTTTTTTAATAGAGACAGGGTTTCAGTATGTTGGCCAGGATCATCTCGATCTCTTGACCTCGTGATCCACCCGCCTCAGCCTCCCAAATTGCTGGGATTACAGGCGTGAGCCACTGTACCTGGCCTAGCTTTTAGACTTTTAGTGATATTTGGCACATGAATGGAATGTAATATGCTCGGATTAAAAAAAAGTTCTCTGGGCTAGGTGCTGTGGTTTACGCCTAATCCCAGCACTTCGGGAGGCTGAGGTGGGAGGATCACATGAGCCCAGGAGTTTGAGACCAGCATAGACAACTTGAGACCTCCTCTCTCTCTCTCTCTCTTTCTCTCTCTCTCTCTTCCCTTTTTTTTTTCTTTGAGATGGAGTCTCACTCTGTAGCCCAGGCTGGAGTACAGTGGCGTGATCTCGGCTTACCAACCTTCGCCTCCTGGGTTCAAGCAACTCTCCTGTCTCAGCCTCCCAAGTAGCTGGGATTACAGGCATGCATCACCACACCTGGTTAATTTTTGTATTTTTAGTAGAGATGGGGATGGGGTTTCACCATGTTGGCCAGGATGGCCTCCGTCTCTTGACTTTGTGATCTGCCCACCTCGGTCTCCCAGTGCTGGGATTACATGTTTGAGCCACTGTGCCCAGCCCAAAATCTGAAACTTTCTGAGTGCTGACATGACACTAAAAGGAAATACTCATTGGAGCATTTTGCATTTTGGATTTTTGAATTAGGGATGCTCAGCTCGTAAGTATATATAATGAAAATATTCCAAAATCTGACATCTGAAACGTTTCTTGGCAAGGCCTGGTGGTTAACTCCTGTAATCTCAGCACTTTGGGAGGCTGCGGTGGGTGGATCACCTGAGGTCAGAGTTCAAGGTCAGCCTGGCCAACATGGTAAAACCCCATCTCTACTAAACATACAAAAATAAACTAGGCGTGGTGGTGTGTGCCTATAATCCCAGCTACTTAGGAGGTTGAAGCAGGATAATTGCTTGAAACAGGGAGGCAGAGGTTACAGTAAGCCAAGATGGCACCACTGCACTCCAACCTGAGCGATAGAATCTCACAGTTGTGAGACTCTCCCTCAGCAACAACAACAAAAAGAAACACTTTTGGTCATCAGCATTTCAGATAAGGAAGCATCAACCTGTACGTGGAATAACAGTACTCTTCATCTAAACTCCTCGTTTGACATTTTGACACTTTGCTTTACCTATTTCTCTATATGCATAATTCTTTTCTGAACCATTTTTAAGAATGTTGGAGACTTTTTTTTTTTGAGACAGCCCAGGCTAGAGTGCAATGTCGCAATCTCAGCTCACTGCAACCTCTGCCTCCTGGTCTCAAGCAATTCGTCTGCCTCAGCCTCCTGAGTAGCTGGGATTACAGGCATGTGCCACCACACCTGGCTAATTTTTTGTGTCTTTAGTAGAGATGGGGTCTCATCATATTGGCCAGGCTGGTCTCGAACTCCTGACCTGGTGATCTGCCTGCCTCAGCCTCCCAAAGTGCTGGGATTACAGGCGTGAGTCACCGGGCCCAGCCCATTTTTTTAAAATCTAAATAATGTGTACATAATTGCAGACATCTTGACACTTCACGTAAACTTCAGCCTGCAACTCCTAGAAATAAATATATTCTTTCAGATATCACAATGCTGTTATTATACCTAAGAAAATTAAAATTAATGGAAATTTTCTCAGTTGCTTCCCCATAGTATTTTATTGCTGTTTCTTGGCTTTTCCCCTTGTTCAGCATCTGGTCAACGATCACGCACTGTATTTAGCTGCTGTCTCTTTGGGAAAGCTTAGTCTCTTAACTCTATTCCATGTTACCTGGGAAATGCTTAACTCACCTGTGACACTTTATTTCCACAGCCTCATCACTTTGGCCAACCTCCCTCCCTCAGGGTTGGCAAATGCAGCAGCAGAGGGGATTCGCTCAGAAGAAAATATTTATACCATTGAGGAGAACGTATATGAAATGGAGGAGTCCAGTGAGTATTACTGCTCAGTCAGCAGCGTGCAGCAACCCTCACAACCTTTGGGTTGCCGCTTTGCAATGCCGTAGATCCAACCATTTTATTTTTGAGTTTGGTATTGCCTTTTTCAAAAACTATAAGCTGTGTCAGCTGACAGGTTTTAGAGGTTCTGTCCACTGACATGGAGCAGAGTTTTCCCGTTTTCGGAAAATGACTCACATGGGAATTCAACTGTGACCTGCACTGAATTTAAACAGGCATGTCATTATCTCTGTATCTAAGCCAACAGACTTACCCAACTCAGAGACTGTTAATCATGGATGTTAGAGCTCAAACAGCTATTATATACACTAGGAATTATTGACATGGAGTCTCTGGAGCTCCAGGAAATTTGGGCACATCATATATCCATGAAACTTCAGATAAACTAGGGAAAACTGAGATGAATGCATACCTTTTTTGGCACAGAAAGTCTAAAGGGGCCACTGATTTTCAGAGATCTGTGATCCTTTTTTTTGAGACAGAGTCTTGATCTGTCACCCAGGCTGGAGTACAGCAGCATGATCTCAGCGCACTGTAGCCTCCACCTCCCGGGTTCAACCAATTCTCCTGCCTCAGCACCCCGAGTAGCTGGGACTACAGGTGTGTGCCACCACACCCAGCTAATATTTGTATTTTAGGTAGAAACCAGGTTCTGCCATGTTGGCCAGCTGGTCTTGAACTGCTGACCTCATGATCTGCCTTTAAAAAAAATTTTTTTTTTTTTTTGGCTGGGCGTAGTGGCTCATGCCTGTAATCCAAGCACTTTGGAGGCCAAGGCGGGCAGATCACCTGAGGTCGAGAGTTCAAGACCAGCCTGACCAACATGGTGAAACCCTGTCTTAAAAAAAAAAATTTTTTTTTTTTTTGAGATGGAGTCTTACTCTGTTGCCCAGGCTGCAGTGCAGTGGCATGGTCTTGGCTCACTGCAACCTCTGCCGCCTGGGTTCAAGTGATTCTCCTGCCTCAGCCTCCCGAGTAGCTGGGATGGCTGGTCTCCAACTCCTGACCTTGTGATCCTCCTGCCTTGGCCTCCCAAAGCACTGGGATTACAGGCATGAGCCACCGCACCTGGCCAGTGATCCTTAAATGATGAAGAGATGACTGGACCGGGTCTACCTTGATCTTGAAGATTCCCTCAGAATGTTGAGCTTTAGGCTTCTTTGAGCATTACCTGCCCAACTGTAAGTGCCAGCACACAGCTCTCTTTTGCCTCTTACGAAGACTGACCTGCGGGCCTGAGATGTGGCAGGAGCTCCTGGAGAAAAAGGAAGTGCATTCAATCCGTGTGTATCGCCAAATTTTGCTTGTTGTGCACTAGAAAGAAAATATCTCTGACCAACTTCTCTATTCATGGACCAAACTGAAGCTATATTTTTCATGGAAGAAGAAGCAGTGACTGGGACACAAATTCTGTTTCCTACTGGAAAGAAGGCAAAGGCTTTCATCTATATTGCCAGCGTTGAATCCTTACATGGAAAGTGATCCCTAAACTTCAATTTCAAGGTGGTAAAGACTTGCTCTGTCTTGTTTATTGTTGCCCCCAGTGCCTGGCACAACTCTGACACACAATTGAAACTTACTAATTTTTTTACCCTTTTTTTGTTTGGTTTTTGAGACAGAATCTCACTCTGTTGCCCAGGCTGCAGTGCAGTGGCCTGATCTAGGCTCACTGTGGCCTTGATGTCCTGGGCACAATTTATCCTTCCACTTCAGCCTCCCCAGTACCGGGACTGTAGGCATGCACCACCATGCCAGGCTAATTTGTATGTTTTTAGTCGAGATAAGGTTTCACCATGTTGGCCAGGCTGGTCTCAAACTCCTGGATTCAAGTGATCCCCCCTGCCTTGACCTCCCAAAGTGCTGGAATTTTAGGTGTGAGCCACCGCACCCAGCCTAAATATTTTTTGGAGCGAAAAAAATAAATAAGCAGAAAGGTAGCTTCCTGGAAGACTTCCGTTACAGAGCTCGGATAAGAGTGTGACTCTGCAAGTTCACTTCTTAGAGAACTCACACATACCTGGAAGCTCCTGTATTCACTCTTATCCAGGCCAGAGTGGCCTGTGTTTCTCAACATCATTCAGCTCAGGCCTTTGTTGGTGTCTTTCTCTTCTGTCTATTTCCCTCTCTTCTGAGCCATCCTCAGCACATAGGGAATGAATTAACAATAGGGACCTATCACCGCCTAAAAGCTGCTCCTCCCCAGGTAATGACGAAGCTGTGACAGTGCTGCATGTCGAAGATGCTGGCCAACAAGGCTGTAAGCAGCCTGTCTGTTTCTAGAAGTCTTTCTGACAGTCTTGTGTGAATGAGAGTGTTTGGGCTGCATCTAGATAGTTTTGGGAGGCAGGCACTGGCATTCTATAGGGAGTTATGTAAGGGAAATCATTTTGCAAAATTAATTATAGGCAGCAGCTCTTGTACAGGCTAAAAAAATTAACCTTAAGTGTCTTTTTAAAAATTTTCTGAGACAGAGTCTCACTCTGTCACCCAGGCTAGAGTGCAATGGCTCAATCTTGGCTCAATCATTCTCCTGCCTCAGCCTCCCAAGTAGCTATGATTACAGGTGTACATCACCACACCCAGATACTTTTTGTATTTTTAGTAGAAATGGGGTTTCACCATGTTGGCCAGGCTGGTCTTGAGCGCCTGACCTCATGTGACCCACCCGCCTCAGCCTCCCAAAGTGCTGGGATTACAGGCGTGAGCTACCGCATTCAGCCCATAAGTGTCTTAAAGTCATGAAATTCTAGTAAGAAGAAACTTCAGGACACATTTGAAGCAGATCAATTGTCCTCATCAAAGAGATTCTTATCCTATCAAAAATCTTTAAACAAGGGTATATGTACAAGGCTGATCATTGCAATGGTGTTTGCGGAGATTTTTTACAATCAATAAGGGAATGGTTGATTATAGTGTTATGCCAATACACGGCTGCGAGTACAAAGAATCATGGCCAAAACACTAAAAGCATTGGCAGCAAAAGCCAAAATAGACAAATGGGACCTAATCAAACTCCACAGCTTCTGCACGACAAAAGAAACAGTCATTAGAGTGAATCAACAACCAACAGAATGGGGAAAAAATTTTGCAATCTACCCATCTGACAAAGGGCTGATATCCAGAATTTACAAAGAACTAAAACAGATTTACAGGAAAAAAACAAGCCCATTCAAAAGTGGGCAAAGGATATGAACAGACACTTTACAAAAAAGACATGTATGAGGCCAAGAAACATATGAAACAATGCTCATGATCACTAGTCATTAGAGAAATGTAAATCAAAACCACATTGAGATACCATCTCACGCCAGTTAGAATGGTGATCATTAAAAAATCTGGAGACAGATGCTGGAGAGGATGTGGAGAAACAGGAACACTTTTACACTGTTGGTGGGAGTGTAAATTAGTTCAGCCATTGTGGAGGACAGTGTGGCAATTCCTCAAGGACGTAGAAATAGAAATTCCATTTGACCCAGCAATCCCATTACTGGGTATATATCCAAAGGAATATAAATCGTTCTACTATAAGGACACATGCACACGAATGTTCATTGCAGCACTGTTTACAATAGCAAAGACCTGGAACCAACCCAAATGCCCATCGATGATAGACTGGACTGGGAAAATGTGGCACATATGGCACACTGTGGAATATTATGCAGCCATCAAAAACAATGAGTTCATGTCCTTTGTAGGGACATGGATGAACCTGGAAACCATCATTCTCAGCAAACTGACACAAGAACAGAAAATCAAACACCACATGTTCTTGCTCATAGGCGGGTGTTGAACAATGAGAACACATGAACACAGGGAGGGGAGCACCACACACTGGGGTCTGTTGGGGGGAAATAGGGGAGGGACAGATATAGATGAAGGGGAGGAAGGCAGCACATCACACTGCCACGTGTGTACCTATGCAACAATCCTGCATGTTCTTCATATGTACCCCAAAACCTAAAATGCAATAAAAAAAAAAGAATTAGGTGATTTTATCATTAAGCTTTTTTGCTAATTCAACAAATACTTACTAAGTGTTTACTGTGTGCCAGATACTTTCTTTGGTGCCGGGATCACAGAAGGGGACCAAATAGACACATCCCTGGCTCCATGGAACTCCTAGTTGATCTGACAGGAAGGAGGATTCATGTCCTTTTGTTTATTCAGTGAAAAAAAAAATGTGTGTGTGTGTGTACTTTTTTTTTTTTTTTTTGAGACAGAGTCTCACTCTATTGCTCAGGCTGGAGTGCAGTGGCACAATCTTGGCTCACTGCAACCTCTGCCTCCTGGGTTTAAGCACTTCTCCTGCCTAGATACTCACTGGAGTAGCTGGAATTACAGGCGTGCACCACCATGCCGGGCTAATTTTTGCATTTTTAATAGAGACAGGGTTTCACCATGTTGGTCAGGCTGGTCTTGAACTCCTGGCCTCAAGCGATCTGCCCTCCTTGGCCTCCGAAGTGCTATGATTACAGGCGTGAGCCACCATGCCCAGCCCATTCAGTGAATATTTATTGACACCTACCTCGTGCCAAACACTATTCTAGTCTCCAGAAATATAGCAATGAATGAAGCAGTCAAAATCCTTGCTGTCATGGAGCTTACATTACTTATCAGAGGAGAATCCTATGTAGTTAAGTTCAAAGGAGGAGGGGGAAAGGAATAATAGTTTACACAACTGATGAATCTTTTTGCCTTAAAAATATGGAAGAATATGCCCAAATGAATATGGTTACTGATGGAGACAAAGGGTGAAGAAAGACTCACTTTTTCCTTTCTCATGTTTCTGCTATAGTTTATTTTCTCCATTTTGTTTTTTAATAAAAAGTAGATTCAAGAATTATAGCAGTGTTTTTCTGTCTGCCCTCCTCATCAAAGAAATAAATGAAGACAAGGTCAAGGTCAAGACTGAGGGCAGTAGTAGAGCATGGCAGCAAGCCGGGACTGGAGCCCTGACTTTCAAGGTGAAATCTGACTCTACACCAAGTATTTGGAATGGGAAAGATGGATACAGAAAAACAAAAAGGCAGGGGAATTACTACAAAGGGCCCAGGAGATGGCAAGTGGTAACTCAGGGACTTAAAAACAGTGCAGTAAGATTAAATGTGTGGTTTGCTTTTAGAAATGCCTTAGGATTTTTCTTCCAGAGCTGCCCACAGAACTCCCACAGGTTCTGAAAAAGGGGAGGGTCCCTGATCTTTTTAGACTGAAAAAAGTAAGGACTATTGTGTTTTATCTGCTCATCACTTCTAGATTTAAAATTCCCAAGGCAGAAATTCCAAACAGTTCAGTTGCTCACTAATTGATTCAGACAACATTAAGTCAATTTACATAAATGAAAGTTGTTTTTTTTCCCTTTTTTTAATGTTATAAGAGAGTGTATATATGGAAATTGCTTATTGAATTTTTATTATTAATTTTTTTCATTCTTCAGTCATGTGGATAAATTTTTAAACAGGTATAACTTATATACAATAAAATGCTCTCTCTTTTTTTTTTCCTTTGAGACAGAGTTTCCTTCTGTCTCCCAGGCTAAAACGCAGTGGCACCATCTTACTCACTGCAACCTCTGCCTCCCAGGCTCAAGCTAATCTCATACCTAAGGTATGAGATTAGCTCCCAAGTACCTGGGATTACAGGCATGCACCATCACGCCCAGCTAATTTTTGTATTTAGTATAGACAGGATTTTGCCATGTTGGCCAGGTTAGTCTCAAACTCCTGGCCTCAAGTGATCTGGCCACCTCGGCCTCCCAAAGTGCTGGGATTACAGGCATGAGCTGCCATGGCTGGCCAAAATGCTCTCATTTGAAGCAGATAATTTAAACTCAACAAATATACACCTATGTAAATACCACCCCAAGCAAGATATAAAGCATTTCCACCATCTCAAAATATATTTTGAAGTTCAAAGGGTCCTCCTGTCTACTCCCAATGCTAGTTTATTGATTTTAAAAATTAAACTGAACACAAATTAATTTTGTCTCCAGATTTCTATTGAAAAACTCTGGATGCTTCTAGAGATAAGTAGAGATGCCCTAGAGCAGTCATTTTTAAGATTTTCTATCACAACTTTCTGGAACTCAGTTGGAAAGTGGGGCAAAGGAGAGAGGCGGCTAACCAGTTGTCTAGGAGGTTCTTAAGCTTGAGGAGGGCTTGGATTTTGCTTGGTTTTCACTGGGAAACCTGTGCAAGAGAGCACTATCAATAGAAATGTCAATTTTAAGCTTCTGTTAGGTTGGTGCAAAAGTTATTGTGATTTTCTCCATGACTTTTGATGGCAAAAAAAAAAGTAAAATAACTTTTGCATCAATCTGCTAGAGCCTCTGTATCTTCTTCTTTTTTTTTTTTTTTTTAATTTTAGGTTTTGGGTACATGTCAAGAACATGCGAGATTGTTGCATAGGTACACACATAGCAGTGTGATTTGCTGCCTTCCTCCCCATCACCTATATCTGGCATTTCTCCCCATGCTATCTCTCCTCAACTCCCCACCCCTGCTGTCCCTCCCCTATTTCCCCCTGACAGACCCCAGTGGGTGATGCTCCCCTGTGTCCATGTGTTCTCATTGTTCAACACCCGCCTATGAGTGAGAACATGCAGTGTTTGATTTTCTGTTCTTGTGTCAGTTTGCTGAGAATGATCTCAGGTGTGGTGGCTCAAGCCTAAAATCTCATCACTTTGGGAGGCCAAGGTGGATGAATCACTTGAGGTCAGGAGTTCCAGGCCAGCCTATCCAACATAACAAAACCCCATTTCTACTAAAATACAAAAATTAGTCGGGCGTGGTGGTGTCAGCCTGTAATCCCAGCTACCCAGGAGGCTGAGGTAGGAGAATCACCTGAACCTGGGAGGTGGAGGTTGCAGTGAGCTGAAATCATGCCACCATACTCCAGCCTGGGTGGCGGAGCAAGACTCCATCTCAAAAAAACAAAGAAACAACAATTTGCTTCATGATAAGCTGATAAATCTTTGTAATTTCTATATTTTGTATTTGTACTTTTTCATTCATTTTAAATCTGGTTCATGCAAAACAAATATTTTGCACTCCAATGTGGTGTTTATCTTCTTTTGTTGGCTCTGGTATGTCCAAATGTCTATATAACTGTATCTAATTTGTTTCTAATTTCATTATCCACGGTTTTACTTGCCATGACTCCTCAACTGCACACTGAATTTAGTTTTTGTTCAGAAAACACTTAAATAAAAAGTAATAACTATGTAAATATAGGAAAGGTTATCGCACGCATTTTTCTTCTGATAATAGAGGTTTCTTGATATTTCTTTATCCCAAAGTTTAACTCTAGGTCTTAGCAAAAGTCTTTTGACCTTGGTATTAACTAAATCTGAGGGTTGAAAAAAGGAGCCGGCCAGGAGCGGTGGCTCATGCCTGTAATCCCAGCACTTTGGGAAGCTGAGGTGGGTGTATCACCTCAGGTCGAGAGTTCAAGACCTGCCTGACCAACATGGTGAAACCCCATCTCTACTAAAAATACAAAAATTGGCTGGGCGTAGTGGCACATGTCTATAATCCCAGCTACTCCAGAGGCTGCGGAGGCAGGAGAATTGCTTGAACTCGAGGGGTGGGGAAGGGTAGAGGTTTCGGTGAGCCAAGATCACATCTTTGGACTTCAGCCTGGGTAACAAGAGCGACAACTCCATTTCAAAAAAGAAAAAAAAAAAAAGAAGAAGAAGAAAGGAGCCAACCCTGAGGGGGCTCTGAAATCTGCCTGCTGCCCAGGCCTTAGTGAAGTTCCCTGCATTTCTCATTGTTCTTCCCACCAACCTCGTACTCCAACAAAATTCCCATTACATAAGCAGCAGTTAAGCAGCTCCTAATCACCGTTAGAGAAAATAATTATCAGAATTGACAGAATTTCAGAAAATAATTATCAGAATTGACAAAGCAAGAAATATGACATTAGTTACTATATAGCTGCCTTATTTCTTTCTCTTTTTTTCTAAAAAAAATAGAGACGGGGTTTCACCATGTTGGCCAGGATGGTCTCAATCTCTTGACCTCGTGATCTGCCCACCTTGGCCTCCCAAAGTGTTGGGATTACAGGCGTGAGCCACTGAGCCCAGCCACCTGCCTTATTTCAAACAATTTGTTTGAAATTATTTCAAATAAATGTGTTTACAAGGTATACTCCAGGGTGAGACAGCCAAATAGTCAGTTGCCTTATAGTAGTACATTGGGACCCTATGTAAGAATCTCTATTTAAGCAGAAGACAACTTATCAGACTGGTGATTTCCCTTATTGATGCTTTTTAACTTTTTATTTTGAAACAATTCAAGATTCACAGCAAAATTGCAATCATAGTACAGAGAGTTTCTGTAGTCACCATTTCTCCTAGAAGCAGGTGAAATTAATTTTAAAAATATATTTTATTTAACTCCATTTATCTAAACTATTATCATTTCAACATGGAATAAAGATAAAGATAATTAATGAGGGCTGGGTGTGATGGTGCACACCTGTGATCCCAGCGCTTTGGGAACCTGAGGAGGGCAGATCGCCTGAGTCCAGGAGTTCGAGACCAGCCTGGGCAACATGGCAAAACCCCATCTCTACAAAAATACAAAAATTATCTTGGTATGGTGATGTGCACCTGTAGTTTCAGCTACTTGAGAGGCTGAGAGGTAGGAGGATTGCTTGAGCCTGGGAGGTCAGGGCTGCAGTGACCCGAGATCACACCACTGTACTCCAGCGTTGGTGACAGAGGAAGACTCTGTCTCAAAAATGAAAATGGGGGAGAGATTCTAGGACATCCTAAAAGAAAAAAAAAGAAAGAAAGAAAGAAAGAAAATGGGGGAGAGAGTTTGTGTTCTTTCACTGTAAGTTTTCAGAATTCGGTAAAAATTCAGAGTGTACTTTATATTTAAAGCACATCTCAGTTCTGACTAGCTGCATTTTAAGTTCTCAATAGCTACATGTTGCTAGTGGCTACAGTTTTAGACAACACAGTTCTACACCATTCTCTTTTTTTTTTTCTTTCTTTTTTTTTAGAGACAAGTTTTCTCCATGTTGGTCAGGCTGGTCTTGAACTCCTGACCTCAGGTGATCCACCCACCTCAGCCTCCCAAAGTGCTGGGATTACAGGCGCGAGCCACCATGCCCAGCCAACAATTCTCTGTTCTCACTCTTTCTCACTCTCCTTTATTTATTTTTATTTTATTTTTATTGAGATGGAGTCTCTCTCTGTCACCCAGGCTGGAGTGCAATGGCACGATCTGAGCTCACTGCAATCTCTGCCTCCCAGATTCAAGTGATTCTTTTGTCTCAGCCTCCCAAGTAGCTGGCATTACAGTTGCCCGCCACCATGCCTGGCTAATTTTTGTATTTTTAGCAGTGACAGCATTTCACCATGTTGGCCAGGCTGGTCTCTAACTGCTGACCTCAAGTGATCCTCCCACATTGGCTTCTTAAAGTGCTGAATTTACAGGCATGAGCCACTGCACCTGGCCCTATTTTTTAACAATAAGAGATGGGGGTCTCACTATGTTTCTTAGGATGGCCTCAAACTCCTGGGCCCTCCTGCCTCAGCCTCCTAAATGCTGAGATTGCATAGTAACTTTTGGATGGAAGTAAAAAACAAAATCAAAACCAAAACCTTCAAAAATAACAAAGTGCCAAATTACAGGCATGAGTCACAGTGGGCCACTGTGCGGTCTCTCTCTCTCTCTCACACACACACACACACACACACACACACACACATACACAAACAGATAGAGGTTATAACTCACTTTTTTTTTCACTATTTGCAGAAGACTATTAGTCCATGTCAGAATATTTGGGAGAATACCTTTTATTTAGATCGCTTTATAGTATTGAGTAGAATAAACATGTACTAGTAAATCATTTCACTATTGACAGATATTTATTTTCTTTCTCCATTTCAAATAAGGCTGCAAAGAACATCCTTTATACAAAAAACTTTTGTGCATTTGTGTATTTTCTTTTTTTGTGTTTGAGACGGAGACTTGCTCTGTCACCCAGGCTGGACTGCAGTAGTGTGATCTTGGCTCACTGCAACTTCCGCCTCTTGCTTTCAAGCAGTTCTATGCCTCAGCCTCCCCAGTAGCTGGAACTACACACACCAGCCACCATGCCCAGCTAGTTTTTGTATTTTTAGTAGAGATGGTCTTGAACTCCTGACCTTGTGATCCGCCCACCTCAGCCTCCCAAAATGCTGGGATTACAGGCCTGAGCCACCGCACCCAGTCACATTTGTGTATTTTCCAGGTATGGAGTTCTAGATATAGAATTGCTTTGTCAAAGGGTATGATCCTGATGGAAGTATTATGACTATAAAACAACAATATATATTTTAAACCTGGCCGGGCGCGGTGGCTCACGCCTATAATCCCAGCACTTTGGGAGGCTGAGGTGGGTGGATCATGAGATCAAGAGATCAAGACCATCCTGGTCAAAAAGGTGAAACCCCGTCTCTACTAAAAATACAAAAACTAGCTGGGCATGGTGGCGCGTGCCTGTAGTCCCAGCTACTCGGGAGGCTGAGGCAGGAGAATTGCTTGAACCCAGGAGGCAGAGGTTGCGGTAAGCTGAGATCGCACCATTGCACTCCAGCCCGGGTAACAAGAGCAAAACTCCGTTTTAAAAAAATAAATTAATTAAATTAAATTTAAAAAATAAAACAACAATATATATTTTAAACCAAGATGCCAGCAAGTGTATAGCTAAATACATACCATCTGTTTCGAGTCAATCATTTTAGAAAACCATATTTGTATTCCAGCATGTTCCTTCACTAAAAATAATTTGGTTTTACTTTTTGAAATTTGACTTAAGGGCCAGGCGCGGTGGCTCACGCCTATAATCCCAGCACTTTATAGGCTTTGGGAGGCTGATGCGGGTGGATCATGGGGTCAAGAGATCGAGACCATCCTGGTCAACATGGTGAAACCCCGTCTCTACTAAAAATACAAAAATTAGCTGGGCATGGTGGTGCACACCTGTGGTCCCAGCTACTTGGGAGGCTGAGGCAGGAGAATTGCTTGAACCCAGGAGGCGGAGGTTGCCGTGAACCGATATCATGCCATTGCATTCCAGCCTGGGTAACAAGAGCAAAACTCCATCTCAAAAAAAAAAAAAAAAAAAAAAAAGAAATCTGACTTAAAAACCAGTTTAAGCTAAAAAATCTAGGTCAAGTAACTTTCATGAAGCTTGCTCTTTTGTAATCAGAATTATTTTTAATTTTTGAGACATGGTCTCTCACTCTGTCACTCATGCTGGAGTGCAGTGGCTTGATTATGGCATTGCAACCTCTGCCTTCTGGGCTCAAGCAATCCTCCAGCCTCAGCCTCCTAAGTAGTTGAGACTACAGGTGCTTGCCACTGCAGCCCGCTAATTTTTGTCTTTTTTGTAAAGACAGGGTTTTGCCATGTTGGCTGGGCTCGTCTTGAACTCCTAAACTCAAGTGATCCACCCTCCTTGGCTTCCCAAAGTGCTGGTTTACAGCCTGAGCTTCTGGGGCCCAACCTGTAATCAGAGTTATTTTTATCATTCATTCATCTGTTTATTCCTTTCCTCCCTTCTCTCTTTCCTTCCTTCCTTCCATCCATGTGTCCATGCATCCAACCAAGAAATGGCTTCCTAATGGTAGCCACCCAGTCCACTTTTGTTCTCCTGGTAGTTCATTCCCCTCACACGGTAGCCTAGGTATATTCTCTTTCCTTTCCTTCCCTCCCTCCCTCCTTCCCTCCCTTTCTTCCTTCCTTCCTCCCTTCCTCTCTCCCTTCCTTCCTTTTTTTTGAGATGGAGTCTCTCTCTGTTGCCCAGGCTGGAGGGTAGTGGCACAATCTCAGCTCACTGGAACCTCTGCCTCCCAGGTTTAAGCAATTCTCCTGCCTCAGCCTCCTGAGTAGCTGGGATTACAGGCATGCACCTCCATGCTCAGCTAGTTTTTCTATTTTTAGTAGAGATGGGTTTTCATTATGTTGAGCAGGCTGGTCTCGAACTCCTGACCTTGTGATCCACCCACCTCAGCCTCCCAAAGTGCTGGGATTACAGACATGAGCCACCATACCTGGCCTTATTTTTCTTTCTTAAATCATCAACTGGATTCAATTACTCTTATTTAAAACCTTTCAATAGCTTGCATTGAAATTTTGCTGACCTTATTCTCTGTGTTTCAGCCACACTGATGTTTCTATTTCTAGAACAGCCCAACTTCTTCCTGATTCCAGCCCCTTTTCGAT